TACTCATTTTGAGTACACTGTACAGCCTCGTTAGTTCCCAAAACTCAAAAAACTATGTAAACTCATTGCCTCAAAAAATTGAATAAAGTTTTTCTTAAGATGATTAAGTTAAGGCAACTTATTCACTTAAAGTACAGAGTAAAAACCTATGTAGTTTCCAGAACTCAAAAAAAAATATGCAAACTCGTTGCTGAGTAAAGCTTACTTAAGATGACTGTTAGGACAACTTATTCATTGCAAGTCTGCAGTATTAAAAATAACTTGATATTTCTGACTGTACAATATTAATTGTTTACCTACTGACAAACATTTCAAATTGAAGAAAGAAAAAGTTATGTTTTTTAGCCGCGCTCCTCCGCCATTGCCGCGCTTACAAGTATGCACAGGCTCCGACAACTGCGGCTGACAAATGCGATCCTCCTTTTCCCCAGATTACCCTTTCTGGTTCACAAAATAACCTTTTAAGATATTTTCAGGCGAGAATGTAGCTGTGTAATGCTCAAATTAGAGCAGGGCGATATGACCAAAAATATTTATCACGATATACATTTGAAAATTTGTGATAACGATATAACTGACGATATAATTGACACTAGACAAAATACTTTACAACTCCACAACTTTATTAGTGCAAAAAAACCCATCAATGTATTTTCACTTAAACTAGCAGCTGTTTTTTATGTGCATTAAAGTTATATAAAAATGTAACAGTGCAAATTCCTTGCTGACAGTTTAACCAAAAAGCATTTCCAGTGGAAATTGGCCGACATATCCTCAGCATAACCATGTATAATATCCACAAAACTTAAAAAGAGGTTATACACACACAATATGGTAATATTATGTTGATGCACAGTACGTATCACTCCGCGAGGCTCCTGACTACGATGCCGTAATGCTCCGACAATCCATCAAGCGGTGCGGCTTCATAGCTTAGCAAAGTCATACTAAAATATTTGACAGATCTTCGAGCGCCGTGTACGACATAAAATCGTTTCGAGGTCAGTAAACACAACCAGAATTCATACATAAGGCACACGGGATTATAAAGGGCACTGTCGATTTTCAGAAAAATCAAAGGATTGATTTTAAGTGTGCCATATTTTTCAAACAACACAGTAATAACGACGGTCCGCTAGCATGCTCTACCAAAAATAATGCTTTAGACGAAAGCTAAACCAGTTCCACACCACTGAAGTTGCAGCATTTTTACAAACCAATTCTGGTTCATCCGTTTCATTTAACGATCCACTTTCGCCCTTCTCATTCTGCGTTGCCGCCATGTGCGTATGAAAACAAAGGCACTGCGCATGTGCGTTTTACCCATATTCTATCGCGATATTTCATTTTTCTATCGTTGCTCAAAATTACACCGGTATTACCAGGAACGGTATGATATAGCCCAGCCCTAGCTCAAATATCTACTTAATTTTTCAAAATATCACACATTTGCAAAAGTGCTTCCACGTTTTCAGAGAGCTCCATTATCTACCAGCGCGATAGCTGACTGGGAGGTCAAGGCTTGATAGAGTCCGCGAGCACAGCTAACTCCGGGCATGTGGTTTTCAACCCCCTGTTGTCTTTTGCTACTCAGGTTAAACATGATATATATAGTTAGTTAGTTATGGCTATGGATTGAAAATACCCCCCACACCACACCCCACCCTTAACGGCTGCACCTCCCGAAGAATTTTGTCTGGGCTCTTATCTCACTTTTTTATTTCAAACAATCAACAGAAAATTTCACAGACATATTTTTAAGGTTTTTAAGGCTGTGGTGTTAATTTTTAAGTAACATGAGCCCAGCGGCAGCAGCAACGCTAGGCTAACACTAACTAGCTAGCAAGATTATAAACAAACAAAATCAGTTTGAATAAGAGTAAACATTTACTCACCAAGTCAGTGTATCAGGTAAAGATCCACATCAATGACAATAATAATATCTTGAGCTGACGCTTCTCCAGGTTTGCTCAACATATTCCAGAAAAAATGCACCATGAAGTTAAGAAAATTCAAATAAATTGAGTTTATCAGCGTTTTTGCATAAAAAGTACTGGGAACTTATTTAAATCGAGTTCTAATAACAAATTGATAAAAACTGAGTTCAGCCTATTTAATATTTTTAATTAAACACAATATTAGATTTTACAGTGTGAGGAAACTTTTGGATCACATGCTTTGTTGAGCCTTGGATCTCCTGACTGTGAGTCAGTGGGATTCGCATGTGTAATGCAATATCTATCCTGACCATATTAGACCTTGCAGATTCAAAATAACAATTTTTAAATGATAACAACTAAAGTGAACCAAGAAGACCGGTTTGGCAAAAAAAAGAAAAAAAAAAGAAAGAAAGAAAGAAAAAAGAAGAAGAAAGAAATATAAATAAATGCTGATGAAAAGGCAAACAAATAAACAAACAACAAAGTTTTAATAACTCTGGTGCGAGGTAAACATATCTAATTTAATATAGCCTGAAGCAAAACTGATTCTTTTTTTTCTTTTTTTTTGAGTTTTTTAGGACAATAATACTATTGAGATTAAAAATATCATTGGCAGCAGTTCAGAAAGATGTGGTTACAAAACAATAACACCAACACACACAAATACACACTGCAAAATTCACCAAGGAAGTTCACACATATACGTAAGAGTGCGATACGAAAGCATCCAGACTAAATTAAATCAAAACGTCAGAAATGTAATCATCACAAACACAAGGAAGCAGATGCAGTAATGTTCAGAGATAACATCTGCTGACTGAAATATTATCTGAACTATAATATGTAATATGAAGTATTATCCTCCAGGTCTCTTAAAATGATCTTAAATTATTTTAGTATGATTCAGCTTCAAACCTTTTGCAAGCGTCCTTTGAAATTCTGTAGAACACAATAAGAAAAAATAAAAAATTTAAAGCACAATATACCATATAGTATATTAAAGAATATAATCACGTGAATCACCTGATAGAAATAAAAATGAGAAAAAACAAAAGAAAAGCTAAAAGTGAGCTGTTGTCTATTAGCATAATACATTGTTTTTATTACACTGTAATAAGTTTATTCTTGTGCTGTTGTTTTATAATTGTCAGTAATATTGTTAGCAGGGCTTGAAACAAATATAACTGCTGTATATTATTGTGTTATATTGTAGCTTTAAAAAAAGACTCTTGCAGTGTAATTATATTACTAATTTTGTCCTGACATTGGCTTTGTAGATGTTAAATACACCAGATTAAATTAAAACCTGGTGAAGCTGCGTGTTACAGTAAGTCTATGAATTATGACTTTTTCTATTTTCTTTCATGTAGATCACACACAAGTCTACATATTTATACACACTCACACTGACATACCACCATACCGGGAACAAACTATCTGACCTTTGACCTCCAGAATTTGGGTAGCCGTTGAGGGATTGGGGAAGTTCATAGCTTTACATTCCACTCATTGGTTGGTTTCATTTGTTTACTCATTCAATTAGCAGGAAGCAGCAGTTGTTACATTCTCAACTGTGACTTCAACCACGAGGAAAACTTCAGCTGGGAGCAATGACAGCAGCTCTGCACCATCATACTCACCATAAAGTCTTACTGATGGAAGTTAACATAACCGACTTGTCAGCATAGTCTTTGTTTAACCCAGTATCATTGGGTATTACACAAATTTTTAATTTTGGGAAATATCATTTTCAAAAATCATGGTACTTATTATCCAACGTACAAAAGCAGAAACCTAATTTCCCATGTTTAAGAGAAAAAACTAAATAAAGCAAAAACTTACAACTTGATATGGTGTTGATTATTGATTAGCATATTATTATTGTTAATAATGAAAATAAGAATAAAGACAAGTTACCAGGTAACCTGGTGCCACATAGGTTCCCCACAGACCCATCCCCAGTGTCTGGGTAAAAATACACCGCTCAAACACAGCATTAAAATCCACATGTCTCCGTAAAGTGTCAGCCCATTGGGACACGGGACCTCTGAGGTCATCCTGTGGTGTATGGCAGAGTTACAGCAGGTCCTTTGGATCCTGCGTTTTAAAGTCTCACTTCAGCATATCTATATGTAAACAAAAGAATGTCATGTCCCAAGGTTTTCAGCAGAAGGCATGCGGCAGCGGCACTGTAAAATGAGACAGATCAATTCAAATAAATGGCATTTATATGGCACTATGTTGAAACATCAGTCGTCTCAAAGCGGTTTTGTATGGTAAAATATTAATGAGAGTTCCCTTAAGACTTAGATTAGACTTGAGCACCACTTGATGATGGTAGGGAGGAAGAATGACCTATTAACAGGAAGTGACCTCTGACCGATCTAGGTTCAGGATGTTAATGTCACCTTTCTTTAATGATGTGGCTGCCAGTGTAGTTAATTTGGACCAATATGCTAATACTTGACTCTATTTTAAATTATTTGAAGGCATTTACACCCAACACTCCCAACAATGCAGACAAATCCAGAAATTTTAGAATAAAGTCATCATTTTTTAAACTACCATATAAAAAGTTCCTTACAGACATGAGTTTGTCATGACAAGTGAAATATTTACAAAATTAATTTCATAATAATTTTAAATAAAGTAACTAAGTAGACATTTGACAGTATTTTGTCGCAGCATCATTTTCAAGGTCAACAATGGGCTTTTATATGTTTTGTATTAATGTTCATGTGAATCACTGCAGCAATTCTTAAATAAAGTCACTTAATTGGAAATAATGAAGGAAGGAGTTTTGTAAAAAATTTCCACGACTATGATTACAGAGTTTTCATAGAGCACAGTATAATAGTATAATTATCAAAAGTATAAGTGAAGATTTTTTCATTTTTTCCAGCAGACGCCTGAGCTCCACGCTTCAGCGGTGTCCTTTGGTTTTCGGTAATTAGAAGCCCATTAAGGCGGAGGCGGAGCTCTGTGCTCGGATTGGTAGGAAGGAGGTGTCAGAATGGGTGTGTGGCGGGAGGAGGAGGAGGAGGGTTGGAAGCTGTAGGGGTTCCCTTCAGTGTGAGTCCAGTGCGTAAAGAGCGCAGAGCGGCTCAGCGGAGAGAGTCTGAGAGTGTGCCGCTTTCCACCACTTCCTGGATTACTGTTTCAGCTCCGTCCGACCGTACACGCTCTATCAATGAAGCTTGGTTCTTATCCGTGATTTCTTCGCCATGAGCTGCCTGGATGTGATGTACCAAGTGTTTGGTCCTCAGCCTTATTTCAGCTCCTACAGCCCCTATCACCACCAGGTACGGAACACACAGACATAAAGTGTTTTATAAGACTTATGTCTTCACTTTAGGCTGCAAGCCACATGCAGAAACTTTATTTAAAGTCAATAAAACTTTATTACGCATAAATCCAAAAGATAAAGGCCATTAAAGCGCACAACCTAAACTTACAGCCCTTAAAAGCACTCTTTAAAAACAGCGCGCATTTAAAAATGTGTTAAACAGACAGTTAATCACCGCTTAGGATCTTATAAAAATGACTGTATCACTGCGCTACCTGCTGCAAGGCTCAAACTCGCTACACAAAACGTAAAGTGCAGAGAAGTTTCAAACTCAATTTTGCGTCAACAGTTTATGTTGTTTGCATTTATGTCACTGTTAAGTTACCTCATAGGTTATATATGTGGTATAGAGTCAATTGCAGTATTAGATAAACATTCTAATTTAACGTGGTCAAAAGTACAACTAAAATAAAATAATAATAAAAAAGATTTAATGAAGACTTATTTGCTTTATAATCTTTTATCTCTTTACGTGTTTTAAAATGTATTTATTTATTTATTTATTTATTTATTTATTTATTTATTTATTTATTTATTTATTTATTTATTTATGTATTTATTTTCTTGCTTTAAAATATTTTTATGTGTGCTATTCAGACTGCAACAGACATTATTTGCTACTCGGGTTTTATCTTTAAGTGCAGTTGTTAAAGTAACATCAGTAAGTTTAAAGTAATATTGTCACTTTTTGAAAGTATATCTCAGATTGTTTTCAGCTTAAATGTCCTTCATCTACTAACAAAACTTTTCATATTATATTTGCTTCTGTCAGTGGGACCTCTGAAGCCTGCAAGGGTCATAAGTTAGAGAGTGACTAGTTTTAAACAGGCTTTTCTAGACCTGTTAAAGAGCTTCTTTTTTTACTCTCAGTCAACATCTACACATATTTCGCATAGTGCTACAACTCACTTTGTCTGGTCTAAACAGCCTGGGGATGAGCCTGTTCCAGCTACACCACATGATTATAGTCTAGATTTTCAGTGCTTGCTAGACAGCAAATTCTAATCCTTTATTTTGTTTAGTCATTTAAACTGAATTTATCATATAACACAGTAATTATATATTTAATTAAATTCAATTTTATTTATATAGCACCAAATCACAACAAAAGTCGCCTCAAGGCGCTTCATAGATACAGAGAAAAACCCAAAAATCATATGATGCCCTGATGTTACTTAAGTCATTTACATATTGTTTTAACACTATTATTTATATATTTTTATTTATTTATTTGTAATTATCAGTTACTATGCACACATTTAATACATTATTATATTTTAAAACGACCACTTTACTTCACATGTTGATAATATCAGCATGTTCCAGTTTATTCATTCATACCTGGAAGTATTAGGTGTTTTTTTTGTTTTTTTTAAATGACCAAACACTGCAAAAAACGTTATTTTTTAAATTTCAAAATTAATTCCAAATTTGTAAGTTATTATAAAGTTTAAGACAATGCAGTCTCAGACAAGCAGATGCTAACTGGGTTCCTTTATCTTCCTCTAAAACCTGCTGTGTCCTTATAGAAATATATTTTTGATGTCAAATGTCATGTCAATACAAAAAATTATATATGCATCAGAAGCATGAATATATTGTTTTATTACAATCATATAAATATATCTGTGTCCTTTTTAGAAGTTGGCTTTGTATTCCAAAATGCAAGACCACCAGGACAGCGGCAGCCGGCTTGGCCCCCCGGCGATCAAAGAGGAGGACAAGGAGCTGCCGCCCGGTGCCGAGTACCTGAGTTCCCGCTGTGTCCTCTTCACTTACTTCCAGGGCGATATCAGCGCGGTGGTGGATGAACACTTCAGCCGAGCTCTCAGCCAGACGAGTGCATACCCCGTGTCGAGCAGCCACAAGGCCGTAAGAGGTGTGTAGTGTTTCTTTTTGTATATATGTAGGTATACATACACACACATATGTGTGTAGGTATACATACACACACATATGTGTGTATTAGTGGATTATTTTGTCAGTATTTTGAGAATTGTAGGCAACATTTCTCAACATTTCACATTTCTACTCATGAAATGCCTTAATATTCTCAGGTTGTGTGGTGTGTGATCTTTTTTCTGATGTTGACATTGGCGGACTCAGCGTTGTGGCCCTTTTCCACTGGTGATACTTAAATATTCCTGCATATTTGCCACTTATTTCTTTTAGTGGAGTTTTATGCTGCTTTTCATTGTCTTTAAATATTAAAGTGATTGAGTAGAATCAATTATGCCCCAGGCATCTATTTACATGCACTGGTGTGATATTTTTAAATGTGTAATGCCAACTTTTTATAGTGTTTTTTTTTTAGGAATTGTCCATGTGTATAGAAAGGATAATGGAAAGTTGTGTGTCACGTATGTCCCCAAAACGTGTGTATGTCTTTAAAATTGTAGGATTGATTTTAATGCCACCTTTTGATGTGAACCATCACTAACAATGATGAAAGCTGCTATTTAACTTTAGTGGTAGAAAATTACAAGTAAAATAACTGATTGTATCTATTAAATATAGGAAACATTATACATATGATAAATACAAATAGTACGATAAGTAGGTATTCAATAAATAGGCGTAATTCAGCCTGTTCTTGTGAATAAAAAGAAGAATTTAGTCTATAAAGAAATGCCTCTGGAACAGCTTTCAGATTATTTAGAGGGAGAGACGTGTTTCATATGCACCACAAGTGTGATAATGGTCCATTGTGCAAATATCTTAAAATGAAAACAGAAGTTTTACTGACTATTACAGTAAAATCACATAAATAGAATCATTTTTTATTAAAAAAAACCCCCCATCATGCTCAACATAATTATATGTTGTGTCCTTCTAAGGGGGGAAAAAGTTTTTAATTGAGCCTTGACTTTGCATTTTCCGAGGAAAATTCAGTGGAATAATCCTGCTTCAACACTACCGTGACTTCATCAGAGTCAGAGGCCCAATTACAATCTGGCAGCTACACCCCCCTCCCTGCATGCTTTCAGTCCCTTTGCGCCTTTGCGTGGACGGTCCCCTACATTAAGTGCTATTCCAAACCAATTAGCCTTGAGTGGAAGTGGGTTATAAACCCACCAAAGCCAAAGCTGCACCAGTGCAGGCTTACTAACCACACTCTGTGAAGGAAATGAAATTGAAACGGAGCAGTTGTATTTTCCAATAAGTAATGGACCCGATCTTAATACATCCAGACACTCCAGATGCTGATTGCAAGTTCCTGTTTTGAGCTGAGAAAGGCGAGAACATCCCAGAGGTTGCCGCTACGATTCTACCATATCCATTAATTAAGCGATCCTTCAGCAGCCACAAGTGTGACTCTTCGTGGAGTTACACTTGTGACGGAGCGGGAGTGTGAAGGGGCCGGATTGGAATTGGACCAGAGAGCACAAAAACACAAAGCAAACTGATAATCAACCCACGCCTGATCTAATTGGTTTAGGATAGAATTCTCAGGAAGTAATAAATCCAAGGCGGGGGGGGGGGTTGCCATAATTGGTGCCCAAGTGCAACGTCCCCAACAAAATAAGAGAAAGAAGACAATGCAGATAAAAATACTAAAATAATTCAGTGAATTTTAGTCCCAAAGGAAATATGAGAATGAAATAACTCAACTACACCTGAGCACTCATGTCTGAATTTGTATTTTTTATTGTGTAAACTATGGCAACGAAAAAGGGATGATAACAAAAACATATGACAATATGTTAAGAAATCCACATTGTGTTGCTGCCAGTTATCTGATTTGGAGTGATTTAAATATATGCAACAACAGGAATACCTTTACAGGGTCAGATTAAAGATGGTGAGAGCTACATATTTATCCAAAGATATAAATTCAGTGCACAATTAAAAGTATTTGCCAGGAATTTTCTCATTTATTTTTTTGTATATCGCTTTTAATGACATTACATCTATCACAGGTTTCGCTGAAGTGAAATCCTTTTTAGGGTCACGTTAACCGGTGATTCTTTCCATCAGCTAAAGAATTAAAAGAAACTGAATTGGTATCCCCATTAATATTCAGTTTTAGCTGTGTAAACATAAAGGGATGATAAAAGCCGACATAAAAGGATTCATTCCTTTATTATTTTTGAAATCTATGCTGAATTGAGTTGCTTTTCCTTTCTTCCCGTTTAGCAAACACTTTTTAAATCCAGCACCTTTATGTAAGTTTTATTTGCAAAAAAATGACCGATTGTGAGTGAGGAATGAATTTAAATTGTCGTACCATTTTGTAACAAAACTTACTATCCTCAAGCCTCACAATTATTATTATTATTATTACTCAGCAGCGCTTGCTTTAAAATTGCATCAACTATTTTGCAGTCATTGATTATCTTGTACATAAAATATCAGAAAAATGTGAGAAATGACCATCTCAAATACCACATTGCCAAGGACACAGCTTCAAATTACATTTTTAAACTCTCTAAAAAACCAAACTGATTCCACTTGCAGTGATATTAAAGAAAGAAAAGCAGCAAAATTCACATTAAAGGAGCTGAAAAGACTGTATTTTATGCTTTTTTGCCTTAAAAAGATGATCAATAAGTTGCGATAAATTCAATACGCATACCATAAATTATGATGCTAAAAAAATGATCCTTGTTTCAAAACAACAGTCAAGAATGAACCTTCAACCACAATGTGTTAACATTATTCAAGCTACATACTTTTTAAAAGTCTAAATAAGTAGGTGTGTCATACTTATGAAATGAGTTTCCTTCATTAATGTGCATTTCTATCTTCACAGATGGATCCTTTCCTATGAGCCAGAGAAGTTTCCCTCCGTCTTTCTGGAACAGTTCCTACCAGCCGTCAGTCTCCTCCACACTGGGCAGCGCTCTGTCGGCTCCCCACACGGATCTCTCCTTTCCAGGTGACCCTTACTCCTCTGCCTCCCTGCACAGCCACCTCCACCAGCCCAGCCCCGATGCCTGGCACCCATCCCACCACCACCACCATCACCACCATCACCCTTACTCGCTAGGAGGTGCTATAAGCACCCAGAGCTCAGCTTACCCACGTTCTGGTGTTCACGAGATGTACGGCACAGCGTTCGACCCACGCTACGGCTCGCTGCTGGTGCCGTCAGTGAGGTCGCACCACCGCCTGACGTCCGGCAGCTCGGTACCGGGGCCCAGTGGCTCTCCCTGTGACCTCGGGGGTAAAGGGGAATCGGGGACGGGGTCGACCTGGAGCGGTGCCTTCACGGGGGCAGGAACAGAGATTGGACTGAACATGGACACAGGTACTGCCAATTTTGAAGTCGATTTATTTTAGGATCTGCATAGAAAACTGCATCTTCTGTCCTTCAGGTAACAGAAAATTCAACTCAAGTGGGCACTTGAGCTAAAATAGACAGAAAAAAGAAGAAACAGCTGGATGATGAACAGGAGGATCTCTCCTCATCAGAATTGCAACAACTGTCATATGCACTAAACAAATAGAACTAACAAAAGGCTGAACTGCAGCACACACATTCTGCACAGTTATGACAAAATGACTTTTACACCAGCTTTTTAGTCAGCAGCCTATTTTTAGTAAAACAGTGATAAAACAATGATGAGCTTTGTGCTTGGGGAAGAGAGGCCCAGCAATTCAACAACCAAGTTTAATCAAAAATCTAAAATATTTTTGTTTGAGTAGAACCGCTTTCTTTGTAAAATAGTTCCGAACCAAGCACTGGAAGGTAAATTTTGCAATAAAAAAACCCTCAATTTAATTTTTGGATATCTTCTTGTCATCGCATAAGTTAAAAATAATCTTTTAACATGCAAAATTTAACATTTTTAGATAGCTAAAGCTATTTGAATCCTATTTAAGGCCTCAGCTTTCAGATTAAGATGTATTATGCTTTCTCTATTAATGCTCTCTAAGCTTTTGTTATGAAACAATGCAAACTTCATGAATGGTTAGAGAAGAAAAACGAATTAATGGCAGAATCCTGCAGTGGATAAGGTTTAGTCTGCTTGCTTTGCCTCAGGGGTCGATGGCCAGTATTTTGGTGAGTTGTGATGAGGCCCCCAGTCGGCTGGTCATTGTTTACTTAAAATGTTAGCTTAAATAAAGAGAGACCTGTTATGTTTTTCTTTATTTATTGTCATACATATTTTTGTCAGTATATGAGCCAAAAGCTCAGGTTTAATACTGCTAAACACTTGATTTTTGAAAGTTCTTCCTAGTTTTAGGAATGAGTGTGGATATCCAAAAGAAATCCTAAAAGAAAGTTGGCTTAATCTGCTTGTGTAAATCATCCAAAACTACTCTGTACTGAGTAATAATAGGACTGAGAACTCCTCGGATATCAAAGATCTTAGAAAGAGCACGACCTTTAATTGGAAATTGAGATAAAAATGTTTTCCCACACTAAGAGATTCAAAGCAAACACAAAAGAATAATTGTTTTATATTGATTTGTTGTTGTGAGGTTAGAACAGAACAGTCTTAATACAAATTGCAGACTGGATTGATTTAAATGCTGCGGCGCATTCTTCTCATTGGATTCGTTCTCATTGGTAATTAGTATTGGTGAAAGACACCGAGAACAGACGTATCTGTGAAGTGTCGGCTACTGGATTTTTTTCTTTTAAATACTGTTTGAGAAGAATGAAAGGCTCGGGAAAACTGTGTAATGAGATGCAAGGTTAACTTGTTATGGGACTGAAGTAACTGAAACAAAATCAATCAATTGAGCTTAAGATGTGAGCTTACACTTTGACTTCGAGTCGATGAAAACCACCTGTGAAAACCAGTAAGTGACATTCATATTGACACTGATATCAGTCTTTTAAATGGATTTTCTGCTGTCTATATTGACATGCTAAACCTTTGCTGCTTGTTTGTGCAGATGTTGAACTGGGTTTGTCAAAAAGCGCACTCATTTAGAAAACTAATTAATAAATGAGGCTGCTCTAGCATTCATTATAACATTCTCTTTCTGTGTATCTCTCAATATCTAATTGGGGGAAACAGCTTTAGTAACATACTGTGAAAAGCAGAATGAAATAACGTTCTGTTTCCCTGCCTGAGATCAACTTACACAAGTGGTTTAAACCAACAAACTGGCTGTCAATCAGCACCTTAACACCAGCTGTCAACTTTCTTTTCTGTTGCTGTCGCGCTTTCATCCCCCTCTGCCTCGGGCAGTTCCTTCTGCTTTTATCAACAGGGCATTTGTGCCTCGTTTTCTAATCTACCTTCTTTTCCTTCTCTGTCTTTTCTTTTCCTGCTTTTCTCTCCTTTTCTCTCAGGTCTGCCAGCACAGGATAAGAGCAAGGATTTGTACTGGTTTTAGAGACCACTGAGACCCCCCCTCCCCCCTCTTCTTGTCTACTACTTTGGCTGTAGCCGCTTTCCTGCACTCCTGCTCTACTCTACTGCTGTTGTGGGATGACTGACAGATAAATTGACAGATAGACAAAAACAGTGAGGCAGCAGTTTCTTTTTCCTGCTGTAACGGCTTCTGGTTTACTTGCAGCTCTGTGTTACGGCGGACTGTGCAGCAGCAGTGCAGCCCTGCTGAGCTGAACGGCAACAGTGTGGATACACAGCGAACATGGAAACAAAAGTGGACTCGCAGAGGGGAGAGAGAGAAAATATGATCTTGATGGATATGGACAAAGACAAGACTCTTTGTGCTTCTGTAACAGGCAGGGACAACATTCCTAAAGTGGAAAAAGTCTTTGGACAGACGGACAGAGACACATGTGCTGTCGGACTCCAAAGACTAGCGCCTGAAAGGACTTGGCAGGACTTGCCTCACTGGGGCAACTGGGCTCAGACACTAGGAGTGTGTTATGGCTGGAGGAAAGGCCATGCTGGTGTCAAGGAGGCAGCACAGCAAGATTTTGGCAGAGAGCGAAGGGAGGAGGACAAACTTTTTGGGTATACATGGAGTAATGTTTCATCCGGCACAGCACAGTACACATTAAATGTAACCTGAATGAATGAATTTCAACTGATATCAAAAGATATTTAAGCCATGATTACAGCTTCAAACCTTAGAAATTTAAAGAGGCATATTTTTCCTGGCTTGTAGCGCTAAATATCCATCTTAACTGTTTTGATGTGAGATGCCCAGTTTTTTATACATCAGCTGCCTTCTCCTAAAATTGCACTAAGTGACAATGTGGTGTTTAAAGTGGCAGACATAGCAGCAGTATGTCATTCCAGAAAAAATGAGCACATCATATTTTTTTTAAATCCACCATCTAGAACTATTTCCTCTCTACCAAATTCAGGCCCTGTCTTTCAATGTGCCACATGGAAACTATGTTCAGCAGGTGTAGCTTGGCACGAAAAAAGCAAAACAAAACAGGCTTCTGGGTCATGATTTGTAGAAGGAGACACAATTGCAGTTTTTTAAAAATATCCACATTATTGGTGCTTTGAACACCACAAGATGAATGCTGTGTAGTTCCACTGAATTCAAGAGAAAGGCAGCTAGTATCTCCAAAACTGGGAAAATATGGGAAAATGTGTGAGGTTCCTTTAAGTGTGCTCATACATTTTAAAGATGAAGCAAACTGTTGTCTCATATGGCACTGCGCAAAGTTAGGGCTCAGTAACACAGACCTGAAGATCAATCAGTAATCCCCGCAACCTCTAGTCGTGAGGGACAAATGTGGATTCGTTGAGCCATTGGTGAATGGTTGCTTGTGGTTGGTGGCCGCCACCAGGTAAATCGTTGCCCGGAGATGCTGACTCATCTGCAAAGACTTGCCATTCACTCGCCAGGATGTTGTGAAACTTAATAGTGTGAAGCTGGAACTGCCTTCAAAGTAAAAGTGACTTACTGCTGAAACCGACTCAGTTTAAAGTGCACAGTTTTTACTTTAAGGGCCAAAGGTCTCCATTTCAAATTTGCATCGCAGTTTTGACAGTTTCACTTTGCTTTTTGAGTAGTTGGCGAATGTTAACAGACAATTCAGCATGACTGAGGAACTCTGCTTTTGACTGAAGCAATCGCATGGAAGTTTTTAGTGCTGCACTGTATATCTCCATGTAACCATTTTGACATTACCAACCTCAAAAAAACAGCTTTCAGTCAAAATGCACACTTCAGCATAGCTAACCCGATGTCACCGCTTGGCGTCTAGGTCTGTGTCACTGAGGATTTAATATATATGACAGTACCACAACAAAGATGTTGGAAAACAAATCAATATCTTTACAAAATGTTTTGTTTTTCTTTACATTTTTTATGGTTAATAACTGCAGATGGCTATGATTAACAGGATAGGAATGCAGACTTTGTTGCCTTTGAGTGCAGCAGATACACAGGCTGTTAGCTCAGTAAGCATAGATTTGATGATTCCAAAACATCTCAAGTGCATTTGGTTTAAAATTTAAAATGTTTTCATCAAGGTTACTGCAGGAGCATTACATGTTGCATTACGTGCTGAAATTATTACACCAATTATACTGCACCGTTTTGCTGCCTTTCTGTTTTATTTGTGTTTATACTGAAAATCTCAAGGTTCAGGAACTTGTGATGTTTAAAAATCACAAGTTCCTGTTTTCTTGGCATATTGAGCACATTGTTGGCCCTGACAGGAAAACCTCTTCCACCAACATGTGATGTAAAGGTCTCTAAACATTTTATTTTTAGTCCAAATTGAATCACACTTTAGGATAAATATCACACTTTTCAAACTTCACCAAATCAGTGCTTGCTTGAAAACGCTGCCAACTGCTTCTTCTTGCTCATAAACCAAACAAAAATAACTCAAAATACACTATTAAAGGGGACCTGTTATTGCTTTCTTTACTATTTTTGGTCATTCACAATAACTCACACATTTTTTTCTTTATGTTTTGCATGGAAAATTGGAAATAGGAGCAGTATAGTGGAGCATGTGCAAACACAAATGCAAAGTTTGGCCATTATGAAACAGCTTGAAAGTCAATATTTGGTATGACCACCTTAATTTTGTTTAAGACAGTGCACATCATGGCAGAAGATTTAAATTGTTGAGCTAGTAGGTCTTTGGGAATCACCTTGTTGGTGCAAAAATATGATTTTATTCCTTTTAAACTGTTATCTTTGGTGTTTTTCATAGATTCAGCTATAGGAATGTGCTTATGCAGCAGCTTGCTACTAGCAAAGTGCCTACTGTAGATATACAATTTAAAACTGGTTCTTTGCTAGGTTGTTACTGTAGACACAACAGTGGTTAATGCTTTGAGTTAGGTGCCTTTTTATACTTGAACGATTTAAGGGTTCTCTGAAAATGGTCAGGTTCAAGGACTGGACTAAAAATGAAAGAAAAAGCAGGAAAATGGCCAAAGAAAACAGTGATTCATGCAAAGCTACTCTGGTAGAGTCCAAGAATGAAAGTTCTGAGCTGTAAATAAGCATGATAGGTTCCCTTTACACAACGATAACTCATGTCACAGAAAATATACTGTGACATGGCGATACATTTACAGGTTAACTGAGACATTTGGTGTTGGTTGAAAAACCACTTAAAGTGGATTAAAGCATGTTGCCATGGTATATATTTAATGTAAAACTACTTGATGGGTCGAACTGCATAACCAGAGCCTTTTACCTACCGCTGATAGACTAGGAGGGACATTTCTACGACAGCAGCAGATTGACCTCTAAACTTCACTGCAGAGTGGACTGTGCTTACCTCTTTGTTATGAGCGTTTTATGAAACTGTATGGCTGTGTCAGCAAAAGAAATGTGAACTTCACACGAATGGCTGCTGAGTGAGAGAGAAAGAGTGGCGAAGTCTTTCAGATGAATGAGGAGAACGTCGGCTATTTGAGGCCACTTGACTCTTTCTCTCCCTCCTCTCATGCAGCTGTCATCGACAACTGCTCTTCAACTCAGCGAACACACACATGGACGCACACTGTCCTACTGTGCAGTGTCCGAGCCAGGCCAAGGGACTCGATAAAGGGAGCATTTAGTGTGAGCAGAGTCCCGCCCTACTGGGACAACTGGTGCGATGTAAGTGGAGGGAGCAGAGGACGAACACACAACTGTCAAAAGTAATTTGTGAGCTTGGATGTATGTACAGGCGTGTCTATTTCTATACTTACAAGGGTCACAATATCCAGCCAGCCTAAAAACTGACAACAATTCAGGCATCATTTTGTCGTTTGCACTCTGCTAATTGTGGATTATTCATAGGATTATACTAAAGGTTCAGGATAAATGGCATTATTTTATCTGGGTTTAAGTGAATTTGCTTACAAAAATACTGTGTGTGAGGCTGCAGCCTGATATAGCTTCTGTGTCCTATGTCTTTGATTTTCATTGTCCAAATTACACACAAGACAATTTACTTAAATGTAATGAACATGGCTTAGTAGTGAAGTCTGTTTCTGTCCTGCTTGGTCCACGGGAAGTATCTGGTTACACTGGGAAGTGGATCAGAAAACTTGTTTTGAGCCTTCTCTTAAACAAACGCTAACAGAAACTTGGTGGCAGTCTCCTGAAAAGGTAAAGTTAGCAGTTGGTTAACAGCATAAATTTGTATAGTTAACCGAAATTAAAACTGACCAAAGAATCATAAACCATTTCAGTGTAACCCCATCAAATGGATTACACTGAAAATAAGTTAATAAAATAAGCTGAAAGTAAGTTTAAAAAAGATTTCACATGTTTTTCCTTATTTTCTGTTATATATACATACAGTTAAAATTGGGAATGTTCACATTCACCAAGGCTGTGGTTCAAATAATGAGGTCAGCATGTGAACGAGTAATCCATGTGAGCCAAAATCTCAGGCTTCAGTTTCAGGCAGTTTTTTTCTTCTCCTGGTATGAGATCAAAAAGACTGGATATCGCTAATGTGGCCATCTGCTGTTAAACCTTTATTTTTAAAAGAAGCAGCAAAGAGGAAAAACAATAGATAAATTGGCTTGTTTCTGACAGAGGATCATCTGAGAGAGGATTGTTTCAAACTACAAAGCTTTTCTAGTAAAGTGCTTATGTTTCTCAGTCAGTGGCTCATTCATTAGCTTCTTGACCTCCAGCTGAATTTCTTCCACAATTATAGATGTTCAGCAGGGAAAGTTTTACGGGACACTTGCCACCTTGAATTCACTGATTCCTCCATGCAATTTGAAACCACCCCGGCCTCCTCATTATGTACTCTTGGCATTGTTGACTTAGCATGGTTCTCAAATTTTTCAGAGATGCCCTCCTTGAAAAGCTAAGAAACACTCCCCCTGTCTTCTCTCTCCAGCTGTGCAAATTTTATTAATCTACAACCACAGGGCCACAACAAATAAAAAAAATCATGTTAATTTGACCGCCAACATACTAATAACATAAAGTAAATATTTATTAAGGCAGGAGAAAGTTTGTCCCTGCTGATATCAAGCTAGATCACAGCGTTTTCCATCTTTCCAGCCACATTTGGTACTGTAGGTCCCATCTAAATTCACTTATTGTTTTGGATTTTTGTTTTTTAATAAACAAAAAATAACTTTTCTTGAATGTGCCACGCTTTTTTTTAACCAGCTGTTTTTGGCTGTAATACTTCCTGGAGGAAGAATGCAGGTCTCAGACCTCTTGCAGCTTTACATCTTGTTTTGGCTGTGTTTTTATTAACCCCTTAGCAGTCCTATTAGTCCCCTAAACCATCCAATGTCCCGTGGGCGGTACGTCCGACTGCTAACAGTTTAAAAACAGCAAAAAAAGGAGAAAAAAAAAGCATTTGTCAGGCCAGTAATGCATTTAAAACAAGTCCTTACAAGAATAGCAATGTGTTATTTTGCATCGTGTGTATCTGTGTACGTCTGAAGTGACCACCTCTGCAGCCATTTATGTGAAACTGTGAAATACTACTCTGTCATTTTGTAAAATACCGTTTTCCGGGTACATTCTGTAAATCAACAGCCACAGCATGCAGCAGTGTTCTCTGTGAATATATTGATATATGACCTGAAGTATTGTTTCTGTCAATCTTGCTCCAGTGTAAAGTCTTTGTTTGTATTTGCTTTCTGCCTGTAACTATAAAGTGACAGCTCTGTCAGGTTCAAAGATGTATTGGCTCTCTCCTCAGTGACTGCTGCTCTCTTATTTTCTTCAAGCAGTGAAATGCCAAAAAGGTTTGAACAGAGTTTACTGCTGAATAAATAAAGCACTGTTCAACATTAAAAAGCTTGCTTGTGGTTAGCTGTCCACTCACATTATCTATTTGCTGTTGAGACTTCTATCTATCTATCTATCTATCTATCTATCTATCTATCTATCTATCTATCTATCTATCTATCTATCTATCTATCTATCTATCTATCTATCTATCAAGCATCTCAAATAAGCAGTTTCCTCCATAACCCATGCACGAATTATTCTATATTCTATGCTCTCTTCCTTTTCTGTGTGTGCGTATGTAAAATATTTATTGCATTTTCTAACTTTTTTATTACAAACTGGTGTGAGATTGTGTTTCAACTGCCCCCACTCCCCAAAACGAAGACTTGGCCTGTACTCAAGGCTGCGGGTTTTATTCCCACTATCCACTCTATGTACTTCCCCCACTCTCTGTGTTTTCCTTCATGTTATTCCACTGACAATATCTGACAACACGAATTTCCTGGTTTTCTGCTTCTCTGCTTTGCTTTCATCGTTGCAAAGAGCAGAGACGAGATCTTTTTCTTTCCTTTTGGAGTTAATGTATGACAAACTCCAGCTTGCACTGGGGTGGTTTGCAGCTGAGCGTCACGTCTAAGGCCACGGTTCTCCACTGTGAAAGAGTGGAAAGTGTAGTAAAATTTACACCACTAAATATGAGAATTATAATCCTGAAAATTCTACATTTTTACTATTATTTCCTATTAGAATTAAAACCGAGAGGTTTGTAAACCTATTGGAGGCTTTATTAGTTTTATCCACTTAAACCTTTTTATTATCTACGTTTTTGATTCTCATATTCCACAAAGACCCTCTCAGCTCTGCTTCTGAAACGCTGGCATTCACTGCCTGGTTAGTGTTAAGGTTGGCCACTCATTGTCAGAGTAAGGGTGAATATTGTGGAAATACAAACGAGTGGCAGGACGGAAATAAGTGTCAAATGTCGGCAAAATCATCAGTATGAATATTTTACTACAAATATTTAACCTTTGGGAATTTTATTTACTAAAGAGAAAATCGATTAATTTTGGACCCTGTTATGTTTAGAATATTTTCTTTGACTTGGATCATGGATTTACTGAGAGCCGGATACAGTGATGCAGGGATTAGATTGTTGTAGCCCAAGTGGGAATTGAATTTAGTGAAATTTAATTGGAGGGGATACTTTTGGATAGATGTAGTGCTTAAAAGCCCATTTCCAATGTAATGGATGATTAAATGACTAAAAAGTGATTAAAACTGAACATCTGAAAAAACAACTCTTCTGGTTTTTCAGGACGGTAAAGAGAAAGCTCGTCTTTTAATGTTGTGACTGTCGACCAAAAAATCTGATTCAAATTCCTCGCAGTGCTCCTAACCTGACTGACCTGATTGCGCCCAGTTGATAAAAGCCATTCAGTGAAGTAAGCAATGTTTGTGTTGCTTGTCTGAAACTCCAGTTGCCCTTGCAGCCTAAATGACTGGTCATCCATCTGGCCCTGATGATTTCCTGTGTGACAATACATACATACAAAAACTGCTCCCTAAATGCACTCACTCAGCTTTCAATCATCCAGAAGGTTTAGTGATGAGTATGAGTTGTTTGTGGGTACCCATTTAGGAAGGAGCTACCAAATGTAGTCTTTGATGTAACTAATGGGGGAGGGTAAAATTAAGTTGGCCAATGTTTACTTATTTATGATCTTTTGCACTTTAACATTGAAGGAAGCGCGTGGGGTCCTTAAAGATTGTAGCTGTCATAAAAAACACAGCAGGATGCTTGGCTGCAGGACTCGACAGCAGTAAATCTGGCATGTCACTTAATTTCATGCGTGATTTAAATTTTTCAAATACCACCACACTAGCGAAAAGATATGTTTACTATGGCATACCAGGCAGCTTAAATGTATAATATTATTGACCACTAATGGCTCTAAGCAACATATTGAGAAGAGGGGCTGTCAATATTAACTGGATACATTCTCACTCATGGTTGTTATCATATGAGCACATCTATTAAAATTAATAGTGCACAAATAACACTGTTCAAGCATCACTGTAATAAATGTGCAAAACATGAACTATTTCTTACACTAAAGAAAGTGTAAGAAACTCTGCAAATGTTTTATTTATTTTTGTTTTCTTATTAAGAAATTAAATAATTTCTCACTCGAGGAGTTGGAAGCACGGTCCTGATAAGTCCATGAGGCATGAAGCTATTCCACTGTCAAATCGTGAAGTGGATGAAGTGGCCCTCTGTCAGACATCTTGTCGGTCCTGCAGTTTTGTAATTACACAACGTTTATAGTGCTGGATGCTAAAAAACAGTAGAAGCTCGCAGGCATTCGAACGTTTTAAAGAGACAAAAAAAGTGAATTAATGTGAAATCAATGAATTTCAATTTTTGATTAATCATGCTGGTTGATAAATAGTGAAGTATATTGATTGTTTGATAATTACCAATTGTCTGCTCTGCCGCTATCTTCCAAAAAGTCCAACCCCATTTAGGATACTACAGTTCTGTGATATTACAAAGTGCTGCCATGTTCCTTTTCATACTGTTTTGAGCCCCTCATGAATAAACAGGTGCACATACAGGAGAGTAGGGCTGATCCAAAGCTGGAAGACGGTGTACATGGGTCAGAGCAGGGACAGCAGTCTAAATAGAGATGGTTAGACCTCCCTCTCCTTATCTTCTACTAAATCCTCCAGGACAGCAAGGTCTTCACAAGCTAACCAAGAAACCTGATCTCTCCCATGTCTGCTGCGCCTGCCTCATCATAGACCCTCCTGGAAAGATAGCCAGAAAACACTGACCAGGAGGCTTTTTAATCACGTGTATGGGTGACTTTAACAAGAAGGTCCAGTCTGGGCTTTCCTTATCTTGAAGTGAAACCCTTTGAAACTACTTCAATACAGCGTCCATGTCCTTGCAGATGCTACATCAGTCCTATGGTTCCCTCTTAAATAACATCTAGAGGATTCTGGTAGTTTCTATAGTAAAACATTCTATTTAGGCTGGATTGTCAGCTAAATAATAGGGCTGTAATACACAGCTGTATCCTGTGCTCCTTTCACGACCCTGTCCTTGTAAAATATGTGAGTATTGGGCTTCAGACAAAAACAGTCACACGAATGGAGAGGAATTTGTGATTCAGGAAGGGAAGGCCCATATTGTGTACTGCTATGTAAAAATTTTTTTAAAATGCTGCTGGGAAAGGTAAAGAAAATTTGAGAGTCAAATCAAAGACAGAGACAGTTTTAGCTACATGTTCTCCTTCTCATGGCACGCCTGTGAATTTGTTTCAACTGTGAGGAAGACAGCTGTAGGTTAATGTCAGCATCTGACTTGAGTGACGACAGAAAGAAAAGGGATGGAGAGGGTCTGATTCTTGTGTTGTCATTAACGCAAACATGCCTGTTTCAAAAAAAATTTATGTTCTTTCATCTTTTTGTACTTTTGCACGATTCATAAGAAAAAAATCACTTCTTTCCACAAAGAGTTAATTCAGCCCTCCTGAAGAATAGGACGGCGTAAAGCTCTTCTAATTGTATGAGACACAGGGATGAGGTTAAGGACAAGAGCAGCTCTTTAATCAAAGCACAGAGAAGGATGGAGTGCATCATTTTTATTTTAGTAATCTGGTAACAACGTTCTGTCTGTCAATTGAAGCACCATTTTTGTATATATTATGCTGTGGCTCAGGAGGTGGAGCAGACCACTTACTAATCGAAAGGTTGATGGGTTGAAGCCCGTCCGCCTCCATCGTGGTTTTGATATAACGTAGGATTGTAATTGTACTTTTGTAAATACCTATTTTCTGGCAGTTTTTTTTTTAAACATACCTAAAGTCTAGTAAATGTGTATATTTATTTATGCATATTTATATTTCTATTAAGTGTATTCTCTCTTAATTTGAAACATTTGAATTGTGTCTTTTCTGCATTAATAGAAGAAAATACGGCAGAGAAGGACTGATTTTCTCTATATTTTTTCTTAATATCAGCCTAAAATTTGCTGTTTTACATCAGGTGGGTTTTTTTTAAAATATACTAGTTTTTTTGTACAGTAAAGTCTTGGGAAATCACATACTTTTTTTTATTTACTTGCCTCCGGGAAGTTAAATTGTATCTTTAATATTAATTTTTTAAATATTTGTGAAATATCAACGAGAAATGAAAGCAAATGTTGCAAAAAATATTCTGATTTTGACTGAAGTCTCTATAAAAATGGATATTCCTACCATTATGTCACTAAGCCAATTTTACAATTTTTCACAATTTTAGTGCCACTCAAGCCAAAACGAGTGAATCAGAGCTACAATCAACAAGCTCTCAAGAAGAAGTAAAACTTACACGGTCCTTTAGGGCCTCACTCAGTCAATATACTGACTCACTATGGTGGAGGCTGAAACTCAGCAGGAGCCCATGTGAGATGTGTTATACAGTCAAAAACATCCCCAATCCAGCTTCCTGCTGTCAACCACCTCCTTTTTGAATATATTGATATATGACCTGAAGTATTGTTTCTGTCAATCTTGCTCCAGTGTAAA